AGGTGTTCCCATTTGTGGTTCTCCTGCAGTCACGGAGCGTTGTAAAACTGGCCAGCAAGCTCCCTGTGTGACCGAAGGGACAAACAAAGGGGGCTGCCCCTGAGCCTCTGCTGAGGCCTGTCAGGTGGCAGTTCGAGCAGCGGCGTGGGTGACGCTGCAGCAGACCTCCACAAGGATCCCAAGGCAAAGAGGCGAAGGAGAGGACCCTCATATGCTGTCCAAAGAAGTTTTATTCAATGGATGGGTCAGGGATGAGTGACAAGGGAGCAATGGTCTGTCAGGGGTTTTTAAAGGGGGTTCATCCGGTGGGTGGGGAGCACAACATAACCAATAGGATAACACGTAGGGAGAAGCAAGGAGATTAGCAGAACCAATGATACTATGACGGGGGAGAGAGAAGCTTCTGGGACAAACCAACTGTTACGATCAGGGTAATTGACATCAAACTTTTGAGAATAAAAGAGGTGGGTCTGAGTTGACAGGCAGGGAAAGGGGGCAGTGCAACTGGGGTTGACAATTTTATATAAGGGAAGAAAGGGAGGAACAGTGGGACAAAGACCGTGAGTGGCAGCCTAGTGGCAGGAAAACTTAGGGGTAAACAACTTGGGGGAAACAATTGTGAGGGGACAAAACGAGGGTACGAAGATCAAACCATTATTACAATTGAAATAACTCAGAAAAACACGCTGCCACACTCCTTGGGGGAGTTTAGAAATTCAGTGTAATGTGGATTAAAAGGAAAGCAAAATACAACAACCTTTCTTCTTAAACTGGTTGCCTAAACCTAACATGGATGTAACATGCGTGAGCTACTGTGAAGAAAACTATCTCAGCCCAAACTAGTGCACACCTACCTTACGGAAAAACTGTGCAGATCAGCTAACTGGCATTTCTGAAGCATTTCAGGGGCCATTGAGAGGGGGAAAAAAAACCAACAAAACTGTGATGTAAAGTGCTTGTTCTTGGGAATTGCCAAACAAATATAGATGACAATGGGGAGCTTGGTAGTGGTTAAAAGCTCCCAAGGAGTTCTCAATCCTTGCTATTCCCACCCTGAAAACAAAGCTTGTAGACGGGAGAGTGAATGAATACACTTGTAATAGAAGAGGGAGTGGTGATGTGTGGCTCAGTGGCTGCAACAGCATGGCTGGAAAATCGGCCTCATGCTCTGCCAAGAGCTGCCACATGACTCAGGGAAAGGAGACTATTGCTCAGTAATGAAGAGGTGGTTCTCATTCCACATGTAGGATTTGGACTGGTGGTGGAAGCTCTTTGAGTCCCTCTGGCAGTAAAGTGGCCAAAAAGAACAGATTCTGCAAACCCTTATAGGAGCTAAATGTTTTTTGGGATTTTTTTCCTGTGTCCTGCAAGGTGTGGAGACCCATTCTATGCACCTTTTCTCATGCAACAACCATGTGTTTACTGAGATCAACTCAATTGTGCGTTTGCTGCCTCTCTGCATCAGTCCTTCCATGAGGAGCAGCCTCCCAGCCCCTTCCTCAGACATCACTCATGTTTCTGCTCCCCCTCAATAGCTGTCACCTGTAAATCCACCAAGAGATGCTGAGAAATCAAATGTGTCCCCTCCAAATTACCCTTTTACCACGATTGAAATTGGCCCAAAAATTCTTATTTGCCCCTCAAAAAAATCGCCTTGGGAAACATTTTTCACAGGCACTTAAATGCCTCTAAAAATAAACATTTTCCTTTCCTCAGTCTTCTTTCATGTATTAGAGGGAGCTGAAAATGAAAATACTTCTGTTCCCTGTATTAAACACCTGCCTAACTGAAGAAACAGACACTAAGGAATGGGGTTTTTTTTTCAAAAAAAGAAAGTGGAGGAGAAGAGGAAGAAAAAGCAGAGAAAGCAGAAATGAGCAAAGACAAAAATAAAGATAGTTTGCATGACTTGACGTAAATTTTCATTTGACAGGAAAATATAGAATTTCAAAAGAAGTTTTCCTTCATAACATTTTCCTTAACAACAGTTCAATTTCTGTTTCTAATACATTACATGAAAATAGCATATCTTTTCTTTCCAATTGTTTATAGTTAGTTTATTTATTATATAGCAGATTATTTCGCTATGCTTCGTTGAAACAGATCATGGCTCCATTCATTTGTGCTTTATACATCTAGAATTAATGGACCTAAGAAGCAAAATGCAACACGACAGTCAATGGAATGAGATAACATCAGAAGAATCAGCAAAAAACATATACTATGAACCAATAATCAGAAGAACATACGTCTTCACTTGCTCAAAAGTGAAAGTATTGCCTATTAAAATTCATACAAGGTGCACGTTGGTTTCAGGCTTGCTGCTTTTCTGAAGGATGAGCATGACAGCATCCTCTTGCTTTCCCACAACCACTTGTGTACCAGGCCTCTGGGAGAGCACTCATTTTCTCTGCTCCAGAAAGAGTTTCCCAGCACAATTACAAGATGTTCTGTAGTAGAAAGATGCATTTCGGGTCACCAGTTCCAGATACATTGATCTGTCTTTCTGTGCATAAACAGGCACAGCTACAAAGACTGCAGTGATGAACTGCCTTTGAAGAGTCACAGGCTGGTGTTGCTGGCCTTCCCCCTGGTTCCTACCAAAAAATGCTCAACCCCATCAGCACCATCAGTAAGCTCTAGACAGCTGGAATAGATGGTGACCTTACATTGATGGTCACCCCAGCGCCTACCCTTCCCTTCCTGTCCCTTCTGCAGTGTTAGCAATTTATAAAAAAGAAGGACCATGTTAGAGGGGTCCATAGTGTTGGCAATTCGGGCAGTCTGTACCTTCCGAATACCGCAGGCAGTGGGAGAAGAAGAGGGTGATGCACCTGGGAATTAGGATGAAAAAGGAAGCTTCACCCTTGTCCTGCGTCTCAGCAATTCCAGACACCCCATGGGAAATGGCCCTTGGCCTCCCCCTTTACTCCTATAACATTACAGGACTACTCTGTGTCTTTCCTGGATCCAACCGCTGGTGGTGTGAAGGTTTTTCCACACAGGGAGACACCCTTCTCCTTCCGTGCCCATTCTCCAGCTCTTCTCTGCTTTCTAACGCACCTAGGAGCCCGTGTCCTTGCTGCTGCACGGATCTCCCACGGCTCTCTGCCAGCCGCACTCCAGAGCTCCCAGCTCCAGCTGGCAGGGCCTCAGCACCCATCCTGTGCCCTCCTTTCCTGATGGCCACAGCAGGCCCTGCTTGCTGCCCTCACGGTGGCAAGCAGCAGCAGCAGCACGGTGCTCTGCCCAAGGCTCTGCCATGAGGGGCTGTCCCTGCATGCAGGGGGAAAAGCCAACCCCGGGTGCAGCATTTCTGCCCCAGCCCTTGTCCCCAGGCCAGCCTCCCCGCCCCACGTGTGCACTCACCGCTTGCCCAAGCAATACAGGGCCAGCGTTAGCTGGTGGGGCCTTGTGTAGCTGCCCCCATTGTGACATGGCGTAATGATGTCAGGGACGGCACAGTACACAACAGCCAGCCCAGCCCCGCCCTTTGTCCCCACCCCAGCTCAGACTCTTGGAGGGGCCCTGGGGTGGCAGGGCCAGCCTTTCCGTGAATCTTCTTCAAAGAACATCTCTTCGTCTTTCTCTTCTCTTTCTTATCAGCGGCCCTCCATTGGCAATCTCACAGATATCCATGTTGGAAGGCACCCTTGAGGACCATGGAGTCTAAACCTTGACTCCACGCTGAGCTTCAGTTAAATCTCTGAGTCTATAAAAGGTGCACGTTGGTTTCAGGCTTGCTGCTTTTCTGAAGGATGAGCATGAATGCATACTCTTGCTTTCCCACAACCACTTGTGTACCAGGCCTCTGGGAGAGCACTCATTTCTTCTGCTACATAAAGAGTTCCCCAGCACAATTACAAGATGTTCTGCAGTAGAAAGATGCATTTTGGGTCACCGGGTTCTGGAATATTGTAGTTTATTGAACCAAGAGCAAAGCAGTTTCCAGGTTGCTACTCATCAATGCACTAACTATAGAGCATCATGGTGTGTCCCCAGCAGTCAGAGACACTATGGCTTTAAACCATCTATGGCTTTACTGCTACGTCAAAAAATATTCTTCTATGCAATAAAGAAGATGTAATGTCATGTGTCTTACATATGTATCTCTTTTATGAAAATCTTTCCAGCTATCAATGTGCTAAGAGCATGAATACATATCACAACTTAGAGTGGCACTAAATATTGGCTATATTGTATTCTCTAAACAAAATTACATATTTGACTGTTTCTAATCATGTCTTATCATGGTATAATACTTACATAATCCGTATCGCTGATACTAGGTCTATTGTTCTATTGGCATATATTATATCTTACTCTTACATATGCTAATTAATATGCTTTCTTGCATGTAATATGTATACAGGGGATATTTATAGATATATATATATATACAAGTAAAAAACATAGATATTTACATCTACAAAATATCAGGTCAGCTGCAACACAGTTGCGGCTACAATGCTGACCTAAAGTTTTCCCATGCAAGAAGAAGGAGAAACACCATCCATTATCTGATCCCAAACACTGCCCAGGGATGGTGGAGTCTCTCTCCCAGTGACAGTCAAGAACCTTGATAGGAACGAAATCCTTTGTACGGCGGGAATACCTGGTTGGAGCACCCCTGGATCAACTGATACCACCAGTGGTCCTTTCAAATATTCCCTCATCTGGGATTCTGAGTTCCCCAGCATCTTTGCACAAGGTGAAGCTCGCAGAGGCAAAATGGACTCAAAGAAAGAGGTGGGAAAATAACAGCATTTTCCTCTTGTGTGGTCCTTGATCTTTGTAGCCAGCCTGGTCATCACTGGATCCAGTGCTGGGGAGAAATGATGAGACGACACTGCTGCTGTTGATGGCATAGTGCTGCTACGCAGCATTTTCCCTTCCCCCTCTGTAGCCCACATTGTAGCCTCTTTTCCCATTTACTGAGAGCTGTTCTCTGCCACCACGTGTGAGCCTCAAAAGCACAGCTCTGTGCAGGAGCAGCTCCTTCACTGTTCATTTTTAAGGATCCGTTTGAACCACTGGTGCAGATCCACGTACTGGCTCATGGCCTGGGAGTGGGCAACTGGATCCATCACCAGGTTATGGAAGAGATTGCATGACCCGGCCATTAGGACCTCTGGGGGCAAATGGATCCCCTCAGGAAGCCTCTGGTTGCCCACAATGAAGTGATTGAGGTGTCTCACTTCCACACACGTGCGCAGGCTCTCGCTGATATCCATCAGCCGCCTCACAAAATGTCTCCTGCGCCACTGTGACACGGGTAAGACGCTCAGGATGTGCATGACGATGGTCTTCATGGTATAGGTGGAGAAGCCTAAGCCCAGCTGAAGACGAGTGAAGAATTGCAGGCATTTCAGGTGCAAGCTGTCAGGGGGAGCCCGCCTGGCGATGTACTTGAAGAACTTCATCTCGGCCACGGCGTAGCTCTCCGGCCAGATTGTGCTTGAGGTGTGGGCTTGCCTAGGCTGACTGCTTGCAAATACATCTGAGTTGCCTTGCCCCACCCCAAACAGCATCTCAATCTGGTAGCTGTCTGTGCCATTGGTCACCTCGAACCGGCAGGAGCGTCCGGAGGGCAGCAGCACTAAATGCCAGCGGTGTGACTCAGGCAAAGCCGGCCAGATTGCTTTCACCAGCTGGTAGAACCAGCGAGCAGTTTTCTGCACGTCCAGGTAGCAGCCCGTGCACAGGGTATCGAGGAGGCTGGGATCCTGACACCCCCTCAGCTCCTCCTCAGGGTGGTGCAGGAAGCATAGCATGTTCTCACCCTGCTGCTCCCTCGTGCAGGTGCACTCCTGCTGCACGCGGATGTGGAAGTTCCTCAAGCGCCGCTGCCCTGCAGTGCCCCGCTCTAGGTGGAAGCTGTGTCCTCGGGGAGGTGTTATGGGTATGAGCACCTGGTACCCAACATCCTGCTCACGGGGACTCCAACCTTCAAAGGCACTGCCCACCCCGATAGCCTCTTGCAGCTCTGGCTAGAAACTGTCGGACAAGACCTGGTGAAAATAATATGCAAAATACTCCATCAAGGTTGTTGTCCACGTGCATCCTTTCTCCAGGTCCTGCTCAGGCCACTGTATGCGCTCCATTATGATTCTTCCAAAGTTATCGGCACGATCACTGTATTCTTCCGCTTCATTTCCAACATCATTGATGTTTCCTGCATTTGGAGCCTCATTGCCTGCTTCAGGGCCAGCTGCTCCACCTCCCGCTCCAGAGAGATCCTCTCCTCTTCCTGGAGCTTGGCACGTGCCTCTATTCGCAGACGTGTCGCTTCGTCCAAGCCATCACCCACGGGCTGTGGGTACTGGACTACACTTTGCAAGAGCAAGAACCACAATCCCCAGGTATCCATGGTCTGCAAGAGGATGGAGAGAGATGGCCTTGAGAGAGGCTGTGAGGGAGGCAGCTGGCATTGGGGACAGCAGGGAAGGGAATCCCAAGGATCTGGGAGCAGGAAGGACAGGACCCCAGAGAGCTGGCAAGAAGCCAGGCCTGTTCTGCTGCTCCAGCAGCAGCAGCAGCAGCAGCACGGTGCCCTGCCCAAGGCTCTGTTATGAGGGGCTGTCCCTGCATGCAGGGGGAAATCCAACCCCCGGTGCAGCATTTCTGCCCCAGCCCTTGTCCCCAGGCCAGCCTCCCCGCCCCACGTGTGCACTCACCGCTTGCCCAAGCAATACAGGGCCAGCGTTAGCTGCTGGGGCCTTGTGTAGCTGCCCCCATTGTGACATGGCCTCATGATGTCACGGACGGCACAGTACACCACAGCCAGCCCAGCCCCGCCCTTTGTCCCCACCGTTGGAGGGGCCCTGGGGTGGCAGGGCCAGCCTTTCCGCGAATCTTCTTCAAAGAACTTCTCTTGGTTTTTCTCTTGTCTTTCTTATCAGCAGCCCTCCATTGGCAATCTCACAGATATCCATGTTGGAAGGCACCCTTGAGGATCATGGAGTCTAAACCTTGACTCCGCACTGAGCTTCAGTTAAATCTCTGAGTCTATAAAAAGGTGCACGTTGGTTTCAGGCTTGCTGCTTTTCTGAAGGATGAGCATGACAGCATCCTCTTGCTTCCCCACAACCACTTGTGTACCAGGCCTCTGGGAGAGCACTCATTTCTCCTGCTCCAGAAAGAGTTTCCCAGCACAATTACAAGATGTTCTACAGTAGAATGATGCATTTTGGGTCACCAGTTCCAGATACATTGATCTTTCTGTGCAGAAACAAGCACAGCTCCAAAGACTGCAGTGATGAGCCGCCTTTGAAGAGTCACAGGCTGGTGCTGCTGGCCTTCCCCCTGGTTCCTACCCAAAAATGCTCAACCCCATCAGCACCATCAGTAAGCCCTAGACAGCTGGAACCCCCCCTTACATTGATGGTGTGATCAATGTGTCTCTAAAATAATATACCCTTGATAAGTATTGTTGCAGGGAGCCCCCTGCACCAGGAAATAAAAGCCTTGACTTCAAGAATGCAGAAGGCTGAACAAATGCTTTATTAAGCTGTATTATACTACACTAGATACTACACCAATATCATACTACTATTATACTAAAAGGAAAAACCCCACGCCCTTGCAGACAGTCCAATACACATATGGCTCCATTTGGTTAAATGAAATCAAAACACCATCACCAGAGTCCAATTAAGAAACTACCTTTTGGTAAACAATCTGCATAATACATTCCACATATGCCAAGCAACAGGAACGGCAAATAGAAATAAGAATTGTTTTTCTTCTTTCTCTGAGTATTCTCACAGCCTTCCCCAGGATTTTTTCTGGGAAATTTTTGCCTGCTGCTCTCTGTGAAGAGAGCTGCGGCCACACATAAGGTGGTCCCAGTGCACAGCCACTCCATCACAGCCAGGCAGGAGATTCTACCCAAGCAGAGCCATCCTCCAAGGTTCTAGCACAGAGCAGATCTGTTAGATATGCTGGTTTCCATCAGTACTTTCTTCTTTCCCTTTGCAAATTAAAGGATATATTTGCCTTGATTTGTAATCACAGAGAAACACAGATTTGCATCTAACTATAGTATTTATGGCAAACCCCCACCCTCATGGAAAGTTCTTTAATTCAGCATGTGTCTGTTCAGATTTTCAACTTCTCATATCATAAAATGATTCCTGAAATGTCTCATTTACTGGATTATTCACCATTTAGTCATTATGTTCAACTGGGCACCTTGAAAGGGAACTTTATACAGGTTTTCTCATGCAGGAAGGCAGAATGAGTACACACACCCTCCACACACAGTCAGAAACTACAGAGAGCTGCAAAACAGCATTGTAAAATTAAAAATAACAGGGCCCAAAAAAACCTAAAAAACAGGTTATGCAGAAGCATCTCCCCAGAGTCCTTTTCCCTCTACAGGAGCAGTACCTGCCCCTGCCATGGATAGGTAGTGGTATGTTTTCCTGTGAAGACCACCCTTGGCCAGCCCTGCCCTGCTTCCAGCACATCCCTTGAGGAGCACCTCACCCTGGCTTTCCTTGCTATGAGATCAATCTAGTTTGCAAAGCACCTCCTTTTATTTTTTTTTTTAATAAATGATCTTCATTAGAAGGCAGCAAACTAAAACAAGCATTAAAACACATCCACACAGAAAGATAAATATGAAATTGAACTCACAGCAATTGGATTACTAGAGCTGTCAAATCACAAAAAGAATAATTTCAAAGAGGAGCATACCTCCAGCTATTAGTTAATTTTCCAGTACACTAATTCAGGCTATTTGCTGATGGATTTTGCCATGCCTGATTACCAATCAGTCAAAAACCAAACCCCTTGCTTGGAAACTACTGGTTATGTACAGCCATTTCTCCAAAGATAATGCAAGAAGGATTTCCATAAACTTGCTTTAGCTCCCTGATAGACAATTAATTCTTGAACCACTCATGCTGGATTTGCTTCAGTGCTTGGATGAGAAGAAATCAGAGATACTGGAAAGTAATAAGGTCCAATACTCTTTGCTACATGCAAATATGGCTAAGTATGCAGAGAGGCTGCCACTGAACAGTCAGCACAATTATCTGCAGCTAATCCAAAATAGCTTATGAGCAAAACCAGAGTGAGCATTTCATGCTGCTACTAGGATTGCAAAGGAGGCTTTCTTGATTGCACTGGCTCTAAGCAGCAACAGATTTTCTGGAGCCACCAAGTTTGTGATAGATTTTGTTCCAGAGGAAAGTTGTAAGGAGGAGGAGGTGGGATTGTCTCCCAGATGCATGTCCGTGGTTCTCCCTGTAACGGGTCAGCACCCAGGTTCCCACACTCTTCCCACCCTGCCTTCCATTTGTGTCCCAGGGGTGGAGTCTGTCACTCTCACAAGCACTCTGTGATGATCCTGCTTGGTCTAGGAGCGGCTCTGGAAGGCATCCACACAGCATCCCCACAATGGCAGACTGTGTATTTTGAAAAGGATTTTCCAACATGCTCTAATTTGGTTTAACTCCCACTGAATTCACAGCTAAGTCAGTGGTGGGAGTCTTCAAAAAAGAACACCCACAACACCATTTTTGGACAGTATCAATGCCTTCTCTGGGTAGAGGAGGTAGGAGGGAAGGCACTGCCTGCCTGGCACACATTCCACATCTCCTCACACACGGTCACCTCTGAAAGACCTTTATTCTTCTGTCCTCAGAGCTGTGTGGTCACTTCCACCCATGTATTACCACCAGTGCTGGCAGCATCTCATACTCAGTTTTGTAGGAATAACCTCACAAGACCAAGGCATTGAGAAGTCAGCAGAGAATTTTCCAGCATGCTCAGTGAGGTTGTTTGCTGATGGATTTTGATACACTTGATTACTGAGGCATTAAAAACTCTCTTTGGAAGTACTGTCTGCCCGCCAGCATTTCCCCAGTGGGTATTGTACTGAACATTTATGTGACAGCTTACATGCAGCTGGGCTCCAGCAAAGACTCAGGCCACCTGTCTCAGGCTCTGCATCATCAGAAGCAGCACAAGCTGGGACTGCAGAGCTGGCATTAAAGAACACCATACTCAGCTTGCTGGTCACTGAGCCCTTTCCTCTAAGGGACACAGACCTGAAGGTTCCCAACCATCCATCAGGATTGTTTTCTCGCCTGTGTTACTCTGCCCTTCTGCTGTCAGCATCTTCTTGGAAGGTAAGACAAGAACTGTGAGGCTGCTGAGAAAATATAAACCTTCCCTGTGTACCCTCCAGCTATCCCCCCAGTATCAGCCAAGTTTCTTCCTCCTCCAGGTTACCTGTGCCTGCTTTCTCTCCTCCACCAGGTAAAACCCAAATCCACTTCCTTTCTTGCCCTGCTAACTCACAACTGTCAACAGCTGGCTGAACACAAGCCAGCAGTGTGCCCTGGTGGCCAAGAAGACCAACAGCATGGCATCTTAGCCTGTGTCAGGAATAGTGTGTCCAGCAGGAGCAAGGAGGTCATTCTTTTCCGGTACTAGGCCATCACCTGTACTGGTGAGGCCACGCTCTGAGTGCTGTGTCCAGTTCTGGGCCCCTCAGTTTGGGAAGGACATTGAGACACTGGAGTGCGTCCAGAGGAGGGCAACAAGGCTGATGAGGGGCTTGGAATACAAGCCCTATGAGGAACAACTGAGGGAGCTGGGGTTGTTTAGCCTGGAAAAAAGGAGACTCAGAGGTGACCTTATCAATCTACAGACACCTGAAAGGTGCATGTAGTCAGGTGGGGTTGGTCTCTTTCTCCAGGCAGCAACTGATAGAACCAGAGGACACAGTCTTAGGCTGTGCCAAGGGAAATATAGGTTGGATATTAGGAAGAAGTTTTTTACAGAAAGAGTGATAAAGTTATGGAATTGTCTGCCAGAGAGGCAGTGGAGTCACCGTCCCTGGATGAGTTTAAAAAAAGACTGGATGTGGTACACAGTGTCATGGTTTACTTGAGATATTAGGGCATGAGTTGGACTCGATGATCTTGAAGGTCTCTTCCAACCTAGTGATTTTGTGAATTCTGTGAATTTGCTGCCCCTCCTCAGAGGTCACTTCCTCAGAGATACTGCCACATTCCCTCATCCATGGAGCTCGAGGTGATGGGTAGGATCTGCTCTCTCTAGGAGATAGCAAATGACTGTGGAGAAGAGGTACAGAAAATTATAATCCCCTCACCCCACTGGGGGTATGGCAGCTCCACTGCTGAGAACGAGACAAGCCGAGACAAGCTGAGCAACAGAAAACTGACAAATCCTGATTAATAATAAAGTCATAATGAAACCATGCCAGCTGGCAACAGCATGGTCTGTCAGCAGGGTAGAATTTGCATGGAGGAAGCCTGCTGTCATCTGGGTCTGGAAAAATGTGCAGGAATTGTGGAGAGTGAGGGCGTCCCCCCACCCTGGTCCTTGTCAACAAGAGTCCCACCCTGCACTTACAGACCAGTCACAGCACCTGACACACTGCTGGCCACCCATTTGGACAAGGCAGTCACTGGAGTAATGGTCTGCAGAAGGGAAAAGACTAGGTTTTAGGACTTACACTGAAGAACTCACTGATCTTAATGACTCCCAGCTTGAGCTGGGCACAGATGGGTTCACAGAAGACACACCTTGGCAAAAGGATTTCACCTGCAAGATGTGCAGTGAGGCACTGACACATAAAACATGGGCAGTGATTCACAGCTACAGATATTATATTTATTAGAGAAAAAGCCATTTCAAAGACACCCCTTTGGGTCACATACAAGCACAGTCTGCAGGACTTTATGCTCTTCAGGTATCACCTGTAAACAATGTCTC